GATTGTCAGTGGATGTTAGGGATTGCCAGGGGGTGTTAGGGAATGTCAGGGGTGTTAAGAAGTGTCAGGGAGTGTCAGGGGGTGGTAGGGAGGTCAGGGGTGTTAGGGAGTGCCAGGGTGTTAGGGAGTGTCAGGGGGATTTGGGGAGTGCCAGGGGTTTTTAGGGATTGTCAGGGGGTGTTAAGGAGAGCCAGGGGGTGTTAGGGAGTGTCAGGCGGTGTTAGGGAGTGCAAAGGGGTGCCAGAGTGTTAAGGGGGAGGGGGTGGAAAGGGTATCTGGTGTACCCCGCCTCCCCCTCCCCCTGGACTGCTATACTCCACCACCTCCTGGACTGGTGTACCTCCACCTCCCCCTGGACTGGTATACTACACCTCCTCCTCCCCCTGGACTGGTATACTCCACCTCCTCCTCCCCCTGGACTGGTATACTACACCTCCTCCTCCCCCTGGACTGATATACTTCCACCTCCTCCTCCCCTTGGACTGGTATACCTCCTCCTCCCGCTGTAATTGGTCCCGGCAATATATCATGTAGGTGGAGATATATCATTTGTACAGCTGGATATTACAATGGGTGAAATATACGCACGAAAAACACGGGTTGGGGTCTCTCTCTCTCTTGTCTCTGACCCTTTGTTTTCTTTTTGTTTCTTCTTGTTCCTCGACTTCTTAATTTTCCTTTTTAAATTTTCTTTTTGTCCTCCTTCATCAATAATTCTTCATCCTTTCTTTTACTAACTTTTATCTTCCAGTCATCTGTTTAGTTGTTGTTTTATGAGTCTCTACCATCAACAATGTTCTTAGCTCTGGTCCAGTATTCTACCAAAGATACTCAAGTTAAATTTCTCCTTGTAAGTGAAGCGCAAGAATCTTCCTAATTTCCTCACTTAAGCTGAAACTCTTAGCTAAAATGGCCGAACAATTACGCGGAGACTCAACCTTATGTAGATACGTTCAAATGGCTTCAGTTAGAGAAGAAAATGAACTTGGAGGGTTTTTTGTGAATCAGTATCTACACAGTTTAATCAGTTCTTTTAAAATATTTAGGTTATTTATATTGTATATAGAGTATATGTATCAATATAATGTTACCTTGTAGGGGAAATTGTCCTATTAAGGTGGGTGTTGGGGGTGAGTGAGGAGCGTTGGGCGTTCAGCTGTCCACTGTCTAGGTAGGCAGTGTTGTGTGGTGCATTAGTCTTTACTGTGAGACTTTGTTAATGAATGAAAATTAAATGACTAGTAATAATAATAATACTATGTCACCGGCGTTCATTACCTCACCTTCTTGTAACCTAGATTTGACCCCCCCCCCCGCCTCACCCACTCCTTCTTCCTCCTCCTCCTCCCATCAACCATCACGGCACATGGCTGACGATCAATAACCATTCAGCCGTGTCTGTCTGTGCGTCTGTGCGTGAATTACTGACCCTGTGTGACCACGTTAAAGTTTATGAAGCGTGGGTTTTGGCGTCCACAGAGGGAGGGAGGGAGGGAGGGAGGCAATATTTTTCCTTATTGATTTGTAATATTGTCCAGGTGAGGCTCCCGCCCTCCCCCCACACACATGGTAGAGTGTTCCCTCTACTGTACACTCATATGTCTGTAGTGTTGATCTTCACGTGTTCAATTGGTGCAGTTTTCTTTTCTTGGAAGTATAATAGTGATGGTAAATAAAGTAATAATAATAAAAATAATAATAATAATAACTGTTCTTGATAAAAATTGTCTTTATTACTTAATTTTATTTCCATTATTACCATTATTCTTGTTATTATTATTATTAAACACAAAAACATTATTGACAAGAAGACCTTTTAAGTACGAATCAGGTGTCAGGTATAACATAAGTGAAACACACAGCTGGGATATCATTTTTTTATCATTTATTAGCTGGACTTGACTAGCTTGGCACATGAAACAATGCGCTGTACAGTAAATTGGTAAATTCACATATATATTTTTTTTCTTCAATATAGCCGGCCAGGAAAACACAAGGAGGAAAATGATATTAATCTCTTGAAATGGCTTATCATAAATGGCAAATTAATTACAGTAAGCACAGAGTAAACAGAAGGGATATTATCATCAATCATTGGCAAAGCCTCAGTAAGAACATAATGACGTCAGAGCTCAAAGTCAGTCGAACGGTGGGATATTCGACTTGGATTCAACAATGACGCATCCGTGACGTCATCGACTCAAGAGAGACGCCTGGCTTGGGCAAAGCGAACGTCTGGCGAATTTCTCACTTTTGATCCATTTATTTATTTATTAATTTCAAACTCAAACTAAAAATATGCTTGATGACGTCACGGGTGCTATAATATACATATGTAATTATTTATATATACGGTATATTTATTTATATTATATATATAATATTTTGGGGTTCACCCATAGTGTAGCGATGATGGTGTAGTGAGGCACATTCATTCATTTCTTCTATAATGGAGTGATACTTTGGATAGACGAGAAGAAGAGGAAAGGGAGGATAGCAGCAGAGTAGGAGGAAGAAAAGGATAGTAGAGAAGGAAGAGGATGATAGCAAAGGAGGGAAAGGAGGAGGTATGGGCGTAACAGAGGAGAAGGAATATGGGGAAGAAGAATAAGACGAAGTAAGAAATAGGAGAGAGAAACTAAGAAATAAAAGAGAGAGAATAAGGTGAGGAAGAAAAAGATGAAAGCGAAAAAGGAGAAGAAAATATAGAAGAAGAAAGATAATGTGAAAGTAAAAGATAAACAAAATAAAAGAAAATGGGGGAAGGAAAGAATGAAAGAAAAAACTTAAACGAAGAAGAAGAAGAATAAGAAGAACAAGACTATTATAGACAAATTGCAGAATGGAATGGGTGTTGTTGATATGGTAGTTCCCCAAGGTATGTGTGGAGGGTTGTTTAGGTGTGGTGGGTAACTCAGAGATGAAGTAATTATTTCTCAGTTGTCTCACGACCCACAAGTATAATTTTATTTCTCAGTTGTCTTCTCTACATGCAAGTTTAATTTTGTCTCATTTCTCTTCACCACCCTCAAATATTTTTTTTTTATTTCTCAGTTTTCTTCAATAACTTTCAAGTCAATCACCTTTATGTACCATATGTTGTATATGTACCAATTGGTATAACTTTCAGTGCTAATACAATTTTTTTCTTTGAAGGAACAATATTTTTCAGTTAATAATTTTACTTTATATATCCATTTTTCTACATTTTTACCTTTACAAAAAATGTTTCCTTCTTCAAATAATAATGGTTCCTTTACCAATCAACAATATCCTTTTTTAGTGTCTTTCTTTTTACAAAACATTAATTTTTAATAACGCATAGACTTTGCTTACACCTGGACATGTAGGGAATGTGTCAACCATGGAGGTCATAATATTTTTACAATTTACACATGGGAATATTATTTTTTTTTTACAATTTACACTCTTAAGAGTTAATCGACCAGATATACGTGACACAACAACACACAACATGATGTAATGGGGCTATAGTTCTGGTGCACGTTTACGCATACAAAAATATAAATATATTTCTTCTGATTACCTTTGATATACAGCTATATGTTCCTAAGTTTATTTCCCCAATGACGAAAAAAATCAAACACTTGAGACACTAATGATAATGTTGAGCTTTATAATGTTTTCGGCAGAATTCATGTTTTTCTTGCAATTCCTGGCGTCGTGCATGTGACCAATCCCCCGGCGTCTTGGGTTATGACGTCACATGTAACACTAGTGGTCGGGTTGTGACATCATTCGAGGGTCCTGGCGTCATGGTAATGATGTCACGTGAACACTCTAGTGGTAAGGTTGTGACGTCACACGAACGCTTTGGCGGTGAGGTTAGGACGTCACAAGAACGCTCTGGTAAGAGGTTAAGGATGTCACACAAACGCCAGGATCACGATGTCAGTCCGGCGTCTTTGGTTATACACTGTAAGGTGGCGAAGTCACCGGTACGTCCACACACTACACAACTCTGGCGGTCAACACTGATAGCCAGTCACAGGTCACGGGGGCCCCAACACTCATGTTTACACAACACTCAACATTGACGTCAGCTGAAGAAACACTGACATCTCCATCACTTCAAAGTCTTAGCTTAAAAAAAACCTGATATCACTGATATCCTGTTCCTCCGTGCCAGAAGTCATTTTGACATCCTTGATATCAACTAAGTACACTTAGATATATCTTCTCCTGAAAGACGTTTAAAGGAGTCCTTTAGGAGCACTGGGTGAGGGTCGGGGCAAGAGAGTGCTGCCGGGGTGTCCTCCACTGAGGTTCAGGAACATGTGCCTTAACACTATAAACTCGACCGTATGGAGGGGATTTTCATCAAGCGTTTGGATACAGTTTTGCTGGTTTGTGGACAGTTTTATCTTTCCTCTATGTCTCTTGATAAACATTCCTATGATCCAATATCAAAATAAGTACTGTATAAATATCAAAGCAGATATACAAATATTATACTTATTAATGCTTGATCTACAACAGGTTATGATTTTTGGCGATTAATGTATTTAAAAAACTAACTACAGGTTCAGATCATCCAAAGTGCACCCCAACTTGTACAAAATTTACCACCAAAAAATAATCATGAAACGGTGACTAACTGTCTAATGCTCGCATGAAAATAACCATCTCAACAAAGAGAAAACCAAACGTACAGAATCAAAGGCCGGCAGCACTTCGTACATACAGTACAGAACAAGGATGTGTGTAGTAGTAACCTGTGGCTGTAAGAGTTGTCACTTCCTGAGAGATACGGTATGTGCAGGACAAGGTAACTCCAGGTGTCACTAATACTGAAATTTTTATAACAATGTGAAATAATTACCTGGACAATTTGTAATGACAGTGGCCTGTTTTCATAATAAATTACTTGGCAGGAAACACTAATTGGGTAATTACTGGAATACTGCATTTTCTTGTAATACAATATATATATATATATATATATATATATATATATATATATATATATATATATATATATGTGTGTGTGTGTGTGTGTGTGTGTGTGTGTGTGTGGAGCAGCCCATCAACACTAGCTCGCCCCGACTCTCTTCGTATGACTTTAATATCACATCAAGGGTTTGTATCTGACTGACTGATACCATCAATCACCCCTGGAAGCGTCCTTATGGTTACTGTGAGTGTCCGTCTGCCATAGGAGACAACACGTGTAAGAGTCAGAGACACACTTTCTTATCACTGCTCACGTTATACTGTACACTCTCACATTCACAACATTCGTAGCTTTATATCTACTTTATCTCACTAAAGTTGCTGTACACAATCTACTGTGGACACACTTTGGTTGTTTACACTCGCTTATGACAACACACCTGGAAGAAGAGCGCTCTTTCATCCCCGCCATATGAGTAAAATGTATGTGTACAAAATAATTAAGAGGAAGCCGCTGAACTTGGTCCTGGGACGTAGCTGTGAGTGTACCACATGACAACATTATCACAAGATCACTGAGCAGTCTGTCGTCACCTGGCTCTGAAGGTAATAACACGTCTGAGCTATTGGACCTGGGCTAGTTGTCCAGCACACACTATAAACTTTTAAAGGGAAATAACGTATCTGAGTTTTGGCTTTCACAGCGCATCCATCCATGACGCCGCTGGGGTAGGGGGGGGGGGATTCAGGGGATGAACTTCTTAGAAAAGATAATCTTATAGTCTGCGGTTGTGACGGGGAGGCTGCGGCTTCGACTACGACTGACGGGGCGCACCCTACGGATGCTATAATTGGCCTGTTGGCTCACCCGAGGTCACACGGCTGCCTGAAGACGGGTCGGGGAGGGCCAGGTGTCCAGAGTCGGTAGCTCCGGGGTGGCTTCACAATCGTTCGTGTTCTTGTGATTATTCACGTAGTTGACATCGTCCTCCGAGTCGACGCACTCGGAGGGAAGGTCGGAGTGTGAGGCGAGAGAAGAGGCAGGGCGGGAGGAGGACGGCGACGCAGCGGGCCACACCCGAGGCTCTGTCTGTGTTGTGCCGTCTGTCACACCCACGGAGTCTTGGTCAAGACTGTCCTGCTGTACCTGCTGGTTCGGGGATACCTTCTTTTGTTTTAGTGGTTGTTCACTGGGCGATGGCTTGCGGTGGTTGGGAAGAGCTCTGACAGGGCTGGTGAGTTTTGGGTCTTCTCTGGGGGCCCTACGAGGACGGTGACCACATGGCCTGATCCTCTCACATTTCTCATCGGGAACACTGCGCTGTTGAAGGCCCTGCAGTTGTGCCTGCTTGAGCAGTACTTGTTGGTGGTGTAGAGGCAAGTTGTACACGTCTTCACTACCAAGAGGAGTGTAGCCGCTGCTGCTGTTAAGGGAGAAGTTGTTCTTAACTATCTTGGTGAGGAGACCGGACCTGGGAGGCTGAGGCTGGCCCAGACGGTGCATCAACGCCAGCTCTCCATCATCACCTGAAGCCTCGTCGGTGTGGCCGGCATAGTCTACCACCACAGCCGAGTCCGGGGTGATGTCGTGGAGGTTGATACGGCGAGAGTGTGGTTGCCTCCAACCCCCAGGAGATGGTCGTTCATTGTCACCGTTTTGTCGACTGTGGCGATTTTGGCGACTCCCGGTGGAACAGAGGTCAGAGTCAGAACCTCGAGTGTGACGGTCGTGGGAGCCGTCAGTCAAATAGTCGACATGAATATCAGACTGAGGAGAGGTAGATGAGGTGCGGGGAGCCAGGAGTGCTGTCAGCTGTTCCACCGCCTGCCTGCCCTCATACCCGTGCACGGCAGGTTCACCTTCGCCGTACACAGCTCGCTGACGAGACAAGCGTGCACGAGCTTTCGGTCGATGCAAAGAAGCATATACATGCGAAGAAGCGGAGGATGGTGAGTGATAATAGGAAGCAACCTCAAAGTCATCATACATGCGGACGTCAAAGCTGTTAGCAGCGCTGATGGAAGAGCAGGTGCTGGCATACTTGGACCAGTCGTTGTCGGCCGTGACCACTGGAGATAGTGCGTCCGTGGAACTGTAGTCGGTGACGCTGGCCGCCTCACTCCTGCAGTGTCTACCCTCGCCTAACCCGCAGTACAGCTCAGAATTGATGCGGTTCTGTAGCAAGTGTTCAAACTGCCCGCTGTCATATGGATCCTCATACCTCGGGGAGGTCTTAGATTTTGCAGGGGGGGACTTGTCTCCTGGCTGGGGCGCATTGGAGTATAAGCTCTGGTCGTAAGAGGGTGGCTCGTCCTTGTTGACCGGCTGTAAGAGTTTAGAGTCGACCGCCTCAGCTTGAATCTCCAAGTTTTGGAGTGACTTACGAAGGACTTCATCCATACCTTGCTGAGGGTCCACCTGCATCCTGAACCTGACAAAACCTGCATCGTTGAATAACATCGACGAGGGTCTAGATGAGGCGTCAGGGGGAAGGGCACTGAGCGTGTTACCGTGATTCCACAGAAGGTGAATGTCGGAGGTGGCTGAGTGAAGGGTAGCCGACTTTCGTATTGACGGCCGCTTGTGAGTGACACGCACAGTGTTGGCTCGTCGGGCAAGAGGCTCTTGCGTCAGTGCCTCCTGATAAACACCCTTCCCACATGACTGTAGGGTGAAGTTTCTGACAGCCTGGTTAGTCTGGCACACGGCAGGGAAAACTTCGTCCACCTTCTCCTGGGCTGCAATGCTGGAACAACTGCCACACCGCTTACAAGAAAACACTGATAACAGTCGCTTCTCGCCCTTGTGGTTCTGGCGTTTTCCTGATGTCCCTCCCACAGTGAACGCAGAGGCCACTCCCAGCAACATCCACATAAGCACCTCTAACAAGCGACAGGTGCTTTGGTAGGCCAGCCAGTGCCAGGGATATGCAGGCGGTAGCTCGAAGATGTAGTGAGGCCCCACAAGAGCGTACATGTGAAGACCGGCCAGCACCACCTGGAGGAAGGAAGCCACCAGAGTGAGATGGGAGCCTCGTAACAAAGCCAGGCGGGGATGGCGGGGTGGTAGTGTACCCTCCAGGGGTGAACGGCTCAGCCTCACCAGCAGCAGCCCGGGGTGACGTCCAGCTGCCCGGCCAACTCGCCATACAGAGAGGAAGCCTCCGATTCCTACAGCACCGCCCCAAGCTGCTGTGACCGCCCTTGCGGCAGCCCGCAGTGGGCCAGCATGCTCAGGCAACAACGCTGAAGTTAAGTGGGCGGCAACTGATGCAAAGAGATGGGCGGCAGTGAGGAGAGCTAGAGCCAAGGGAGCATGGGGCTTCCTGGGCAGGAGACGCGGGCACCGCCATGCTCGCACTATAGCCAGGACGACCACTGCTAGTGCCGCTGTTAAACACGGCCACCCTGTCTCTTCCACGACAGCTGAGAGAGCTACGGGCAACCGACGTTCTGCTCCATAAGGATCATGGAAGAGATGTACACAGCGGAGGAATGCAGCCAAGAACATGAGGAGGTGCAGTGTAATATAGTAGCCGCGTGGCAGGAGGTGCGCCGCTGCATGTACCCGTGCCAGCCAGAACAGTGCCAGCAGGGCCAGTAGGCTGTACAGCCCTGCAGCACAGTATACATGTACCACCCACGCCGTTCCTAGGGCGCGCACCCACGCCACCTTACTGAGACCCACACCCACGTCTGCCCGCACCACCTCCACTTCCTGAGGCCGGTCCAAGGGCACATCCATCATCTGATCATGGTTAATGGGTGCCTCCACATACGGCGTCTGGACTGGCCTGTTACCCACTCCTCGCTGGTCCGTCACAGCCTTCTGCACCTCGGGCTCCAGCCCGGGCTGTGACGACCAAACGGGTGGTCCCGACGCCCTATATCCATAGTCGTCCCTGGGAGGCAAGTCTTGGGGTACCCTGTACCCAGCAGTAGGTCGTGGAGGACGCTGAGTTGTGGTGGAGGTGGTGGTGGAGGAAGGCTGGCTGGTGGACACCCCATATGCCACTCCTCGGAAGATGGCGGCCAAGGAGCTCTCGATGCTACTGGTGTTGTTGCTCTTGTGACGCATGTCTATCCTCGACCATTTTGAAGAGAGTCCTAAGCTGGTGCTGTTATTGCCGGTGTTGTCCCGGGCCCTGGGTGCTGTGAGCGGGGCCGTCCTCAGCCCTACCTGTGCCCTGCAGGAGGTGGCGGCCAACAGTAGGATGAAGAGGCCACCCAGGAACAACATGGCGGCGTGACGCATGGCTGTAGAGTCAGGTGGTCGCGGGGCCGTCTGCCATCACAACCTGGAAGCAGTAAAAAACGCGTCGTTAATTCTCGTCCGTCACGAGACACTGAGGACAGTGTAAACATTAGGGTGTAGTAGCATGATGGTGGTGAAACAGTTTTATGGGTGTTTTCCATCATAAGCAGGATCCTTCTTCCAGTTATTATCCTAAACAATATAATCATACCTGATACTCCACCATTCACCGCCAGTGTAGGTGATCATACTGCAACCATTAACAGTTTAATCTCCCTCACGGGTTTCCTCTGAAAGGTAAAACTACTGAAAGATTCGACGATAGGAAAAAGTGGTTAGTGTGGCGGGTCTCCAATAGCTGTAAAGAATCCCGGCACCATTAACCCCTTCCGTGCGAAGACCAGAATGCACCTCACTCAAAACTCTCGCCCGTTAAACGATCATTTAAACTCAATTTACCGACAGCCCCGCGCTTCTCCACAGGAAAACTTTGATTTTAGCAGTAAGGGTTTCACATTCCTAAAAACCCACTCTTGAGGTAGATTTTTCTGGTTAAAATACTTTAAAAAAACGAGAAAAGGTTTTAAGTTAAATTTATTTATTTTTGTAATGGGAGGGTCAGCGTGGTTTATGGAGGTGGTCGTTAGTACAGGAGGTTCTCACATCTATCAGGTACAACTGTTGTGTTGAGGAAACCACAAAGAAAAATATATGTAGTTTTACCCTTGGAATATACCCCAACCTAAGATACACCAATTCAGTTGTGCTATCACCGATAATTGTGTATATTGTATGGCATTTGTATATGGCCACGTTGTTAACATGTATAGCTCGTTTTTATGGCAACGACGTTTCCACATATAAGTCTCAGTTATCATTTAAGGCAACGACGTTTTCCTTAGCTATCCCATGTTTATGACATCGACTTTACTGAACACAGCAGCCGTTATACCCAGAGTTGGTTATTAAAAGTAGTTTATCCCTTTGTACCCGTGTGTACCGCCGAGCTAAACATGGCGTCGTGCCCACTAATAGTTTTCTTCACTTGCCGCTGTTTGATTGCCAGAGGGAGGGAAAAAAAAACTCAGGTACCTCTCACCCTAAACCAACGGCTGAGGGTCTCACCGTGGCGAATGATATGAAAAGACCCGGCACAAAGGAGTTCTAGGCTTAGGTTAACACTTGGGGAAATATCCGTGAAAAACGTATCCATGTAAATAGGCCGAATATAGCCGTGTGACACGTTTATCCGGAGCTGACCCGCGAAGGGCTCCCTCACTCTGATACTATGCCCCCCACCCCCCTCACCCACTCTCTCACACATATCGGGTTTAACCGTAAATTGCCTATCATAACTCCCTGACGTGTTGGCGGGACCACTTTTCGGGGTATTTTATGACAAGCTGAAAAAAACACGACTATACTGTACTACCTCATATCAAGGCTGACCACCTAGGCCTTTACACCCATACAATATACAGTGGAATCTAAAGTTAGTGGATTCCTAGGCTGGGGAGGGTTAGTATTTGCCTCTTTGAGTACGATGATTTAACCCCATAAGTACATTGTCTTTGTATATTCAGAGGATTAACATATCGTACTCAAGGGATTACTTAATTGTATTCAACAGGCTGAAGCATTTTACTCGAGGGATTAAGTCATAGTATTGAAGTGGTGAAGATATCTTATTCCAAGGTTAAAGGCATTGTAATCGGTGGAATTAAGGCCTCGTACTCATGGAAGTTAGGCATCGTCCTCATTGTTCCATTTCACTGTACTAAGAGGTTTGGTTAACATGGTACTCGGTTAGGCATCGTACACAGAAGGTTGGTTAACATGGTACTCGTGGGAGGGGGTTGGGCATCGTACACAGAAGGTTGGTTAACATGGTACTCGTGGGGGGGTTGGGCATCGTACACAGAAGGTTGGTTAACATAGTACTCGTGGGAGGGGTTGAGCATCGTACACAGTTGGTTAACATGGTACTCGTGGGAGGGGGGTTAGCATCGTACACAGAAGGTTCGGTACTAGGGGGGTTAGGCATCGTACACAGAAGGTTGGTTAACATGGTAATCGCGGGCTAAAGCTCCTACATGCGAATTAATACTCAAAATGTTTCGAGTCATACAGGATTTATTTATTTTTTCTGGTACCATATAGAAGTGAATGGGTTTTGAATATGGCTCATACTGGTTCCTCATACAGCCAGGAGGAAAAAAACAACTTTCCAGTTACGAAAGACTACATGAAACCAATTAAGAAGAGCAAGTGGAGCGTGTAACTGTGCATCACTTCACTCCACACACACACACACACAGAGAGAGAGAGAGGGAGAGAGAGAGAGAGAGAGAGAGAGAGAGAGAGAGAGACGTACAGGTGGAGGCAGGTAGCTTTTTAATGAAGGGTTTTCCCTAATCAAAATAAACGCCGGCATAAAATAAAATAAACGGGAGTACCGGGAGAAAACATGAATCATAACATAACATAATTTTGCTTAATTTGTGACGCGTGAGTAACATTTAAGTACCGGGGATTCTATCAGGCTTTCATTATACTCTCCCACCGAGTTAGAATCAGCCATCCAGTCAGAAATATAATTGTAAGTTAAAGATTTAAGTAGGAAGTACTAAGGATGCAGTAAGTATTTCTCATGTGTTCAGAATATAATGTGATGCTTTAACCTTAGATAAGAATAGAAGTGTATCTGAAAAGTACCTTAACTTAATTACACGTAGTTATGATAGTACTTAGTTAATTGCGCGTAGTTATGATAGTAATTAACTTAGTCAATTACACGTAGTTATGGTAGAAATTAACTTAGTCAATTACACGTAGTTATGGTAGTACTTAATGCCTTAACCTAGATATTAAGATAATTGTATCTAAATGTTCCTTAAAGTAGTCATAGTAACTTATTTCTGTTGTTGGTGGTGACATAATTTAGATGTGAAGCTATACACCACTAAAACTGTCGGCCCTATTTGATATATACTGTACAGGAAGTGGTGGTGGTGCCTTAATGTAAACCTATTGATATATGAAGAAGATCTGTATCATGAAACTTATTTAACTCAACCATGTTATATAGAGTAGTGGAAGCGGCCTGTGCTTTATCAACATCTCGGAGGCTATGATATACAAGGCTGCTGGGAGGCGCGAGTAATTAAGGTGTCACTGTCGGAAACCCATAGCTCTCTCTCTCTCTCTCTCTCTCTCTCTCTCTCTCTCTCTAATATACGTTTATGATATATTTATTATTTACGGGTTTCTCTTTGATGTAGAACTGACGTGTTTATCATAATTTCACAAGTCATGAGCTTGTCCCTAATTATATGAATGAAAGATACGATAAGCGAGGGCGGTAATAGACGAGGCTTTATTACGACGCAGAAAAACTCCCCCCGTGCCTGAATGACTGTGGGTACGAGATAACGTTGGTAGAAGTCCCCAGTTATAAAGGCCACCGTCCCCGGGAGTGGGAATGGGAGTCTGGTTACTGTAGGGGTTGTGGTCGTTATACACAGTGGGTTTTAAACAAACACTGAGGGTCTATGGGTGGCGGATTGAGGGTATGTTGACGGTGAGTTCTAATTGGTGAGTTTTTAGTCATAGTGGTAGGAGTACAGTTAAGGGATTTTGTTGAGAGTCGTATTAGCAAACAAAACGAGAGAGAGAGAGAGAGAGAGAGAGAGCAGTAGTAGATCAGCACAATAACAGTACAATACTAGTAAAGGCCCTGCTATTATTCTACACTTTATTGCTGTAATACTGATGTTTTTACTCTGCAATGAACAACTAACGACACCTCAGGTAAAGACGTTTTTAACATTCGTACACAAAACACCCAGAGACCTATTCTTCCCACACGTATTCCTTCCTCACACACATAGTCACGCAGAACAGAACATCCTCCCTTACATACATACATACATACATATTCTCTTCCTTCCCTTCACTTCCTGACACACACAGACACAGGGTCACGCACTACACATCCAGCCACTGCCGTAATATTACAACTTGGCCTCACGTGGTAGTGCGGATCATATGGCCCGGGGTGGAAGTTATCCCCTTGTGTCACGCCATCCAGCAGTAACAACTACACACACACACACACACACACACACACACACACACACACACACACACACACACACAACTAAAATATATCGACGGCACAAATATGTTATATACTATCTCTCTCCATTACACAAGCTTGGACCATTAAGTTGGACTATTTGTGTGTGTGTGAGAGAGAGAGAGAGAGAGAGAGAGAGAGAGAGAGAGAGAGAGAGAGAGAGAGAGAGAGAGAGAGAGCACATTCAAGCACTCAGTACCAGGCCACGCCACATTAATCCGTTGGTAAAAAAACAACATATTACAGCACCACACATGTTAACTTGACGTACGGTGGGGGGATTTATGGCCCGTTAATCCCAGGGTTAATCTCCAGTGCCAGCTTCTTGTCTTACCGGGGCTGGTCTGGGATTAATCTTTTAAAATAACATCTCGCGTGGTTAGCCTCCAGGGTTAATGACTTGATGGGTCAGTTAGGCATTACTGACTCAGAGAAGCAAGAGAATCCTAACTCTCACTACCAGGGATTACTGACTCGCTTGGTAAGCCGGAGATTACCGACTTAGTCACTCAAGGATGACTGAATCAGCTATTTAAGGATGATTGACTCAGCTAGGTAAGGATGATTGACTCAGCTAGGTAAGGATGACTGACTCAGTTCGTCTAGGATTAGTGACTCTTTTGGTTAGTTACAAATTACCACTTACTGTACTTACTTCACCAGGGATTACCGACTGACTTTCCCTTGAGCTAAGGTTATCAGGGTATCGGAAACTTGTAAACTCAAGAGAGACGAATCTTAAAGCAGCGCTGAGAATACACGTCTTCCTGACACACACATTCCTCTCATCTCTCGTCGTGCTAGAGTCTCAGATCAGTCACAGCTCTGAATACTCACCTTGAGTCAACACCTAGAATATGGGGCAGTGTCATAGTGCCATCTTAGAATACCCTCCTTAAGTCAAC